GGATATGCAGTGTTCTCCTTTGAGCGACTGAATCAGATGGGCACAGCTGCAGAGCAGCAAGTGTTGGCAGTGTTGTAGGTCTAATTTTCATTGTTCAAGTGCGAGCCCGAGGAGGATTATGTGTGTGAGAGTGTGTGTTTTTTTTTTTTTATCTCCCTCAGCACTATGTGTTGCTGTGAGGTGTTCGCTCCAGCCTCACTCTCTAAAGGAGCTCATTCATGCATCTGAGGCAAAGACACCAGCACTCCACAGGCTCACATTTCTGTGGGCCTTTTGTCCTGCCCCGCAGAGAGTGCTGGGGAAATAGGGATGTGCGCAACCCAATATTAGCCCTCATGTTTGTTCACTTGCTCCTCTGTTCTTTGATATCCTCTTTGCCAGAATGGGCAAAAGTGCACTGGAAATAGAACAAGTATTAGCATGTATATTCCTATTATTAATGAAACAAGTTTTTTATATGAAACTGTATGTTTGTTTCATTTATAGTTTAATTTCATTTTTTTTTATATGCTATATATATTCAAACATTTTATATTATAAAAAATGAAACTAATTTTCTTATTGATTATTTTATTTTTTTAATTATTTGTTTTTTTGGATTTATATATTGATATAAAAAGATATATCAGTATCTGTTTGTTTTATATATAATTTAATTGGAATTATGTTTATTATTTTAAATATGCTATACACATGGTATACATATATAATAATTAAAATAAATGCATTTTTAATTTAACTTTTTGCATTAAAGCTTTAAACAAGTAAACATTTAAAAAGGACTGAAATATAATATAGAAGAACATATATAATGAAATGATTATATAATAAAAGTAATAATAATAATAACAATAATAATTTAATAATAAAATAAAAATAAAAAAAAACAGGAAAAACAAGGGCACAAATTTAGCTCTTTTAGTTTTGAAATAAAGCTTTAAACAAGGATACAGTGCAATTCTTTATCAGTTGCAAATATGGAAACCAAAACATTTGCAGGGTAAATATTGTGGTACAGAGGCATCTCTCAGCTGTCTGTGGTGGTCACTTATGGATGAGCTGCCGTCAGATCCCTGAGAAGTGCACACTGTAAGTTAGCCAGACCTTATGCAACAGAGCACCTCAGTTCATCCATCTTATCCGGACAGTCCGCTCTGCCCACTGTTCAAACACTGGAGGATCTGGCTTCAGAGCTTAGCTAACAGATGAGTTAGTTAGAGATGTGTTACTGCCGATCATCAGAAAGACAGTTTTCTAAGTTCTCATTGTTAATACTGAGGAGACTGGGGTTGTTTGGTACGGGTTCATTTCTGGGTCATATTAGGATGCAGTCACACACATATATATATATATATATATATATATATATATATATGTATATATATGCTCTCTTGATCCACACTCATTGGTATTATCTATGCATTAAATGTCAAAGCCTGTTGCGGTAAGAGCATTTTTTTTCTTTTCTTCATGCAGGTTATGTCGGTTCACCAGTAGATGACGGCAAGTGATGAGTGAGTTGAATGATTCATTCAACCAACCAACCGATTCAAAACAAACAAGTGAGTTACTGAATCAGTCCTTCAACCGACTTGTCAATAACACTGATTTATTTAGGAACGAAGTGAGTCATTGAATGATGTCACTCAACCGATTCATTCAAGAACATTGATTCATTCACTACGATGTGTTTGTCGGAGACATGACGGCTGATTTTCTGTGGCTTCCTTTGTAACCATTTTTGCTGCAGGAGTCAAAATCAACAAAAATACCTAACCATATTTTTTTTTATCTAAAATGTGAGTTACTCAGTATTACTGTTTAGTAGCATTTGTACAGAGCATCTGATGACCAGTGTTTTACAATATCTCCCCATGCTTAGTGAGTACTGTGTGTTTATAGAAGCTATGAAACCTGATATTGTTTAAAGAGATGCAGTTTACTTTATTATGGACACGTGTGTCATAATATAGTCCTCAAAATGTGTTATGCTGTGGAAAGCAGTTATACAGAGAGCTTGTCAGTTCTGTCAGACCAGAATGAATATGTCCATTTATGACTTGAGTTTCTTCTCAGGGTGACTGAAAGTGGCGATCTCTACACACGTGTAATACTTCTCAGCTGTCTGACACACAGCGAGCATATGATGTCACAACCTTGTCCAGCTTTTCCTGGGCTTGAAACAAAATGGAAAAGCAAACACCTGTAGGTGTAACATCCCCTCTCACGCGATGTCAAGCGGGCTGCAGGAGAGCACAGTCAGTACTGAGATGTATGCATGTGGCAGTTGAGCCTGGTATTTCACACATCTGTGAGGGCAGTGTGTGGCTGTAAACGGTAACAACATTGCCTTGCTGAAGCCTCAGTCTTCCTTTCACTGCTCAGCAACTATTCAGATCTCAAAATTCATCATCTCCTGTCATATATATTTTTTAGATGCTCTGGTTGTCAAAGTCAAAGCATCTGTGGCAAAATATGAGAGAACTCTGAAACTAAACTAGGTATTACTGTTGTATATAGATATGATTGGTGGTAATATCTGATTTCTGTGGAATGGAAGCCACATTTCATATACAGTTGTAAGAAAACATCTGAACCAGTATTATCGTTTACTAAAACTGAAACTATTAAAATCATTCTCTAGAATATAAATGAAGATGAAATCAAATAAAATGTAAATATTAGATGAAAACTAAACAAAAATTAGAAATGGTGATATGCAACCAAAAGAAATAAGTCTAAATTGAAGTACTAAAATGACTAATACTAAAACTGATGTGTGATGTATTGGTATCACATTAGTATGTAAAACAATTGATTTTAGTCTTTAGTGTTTTAGTTTTAATTTAAAATAATGTTAATTTTTTTTTTTTAATTGGCCATTTATGGGTTATCAGCCATTACAATGATATATCCTTTTTTTCAATAAAGACATGGAAATGCGTCATTGTGTGTATATTAGTTGTTTAACAGACTGTATTTGTCTTTATGACTTGAAGATTAGATCTAATTTTATGACCAGTTTATACATAAATTCAATGTAAATCCAATGGTTCATATACTTTTCCCTACAACTTTCACTTTTAAAAATAACCTGAAGTCATCATTCATCATACCGTTTTATTTCCACATGTATAGCAGGTTTGCCTGGTGATTTGATCTGTTTGTTGCTGTCTGTTACAGTACAGTGGTGGGAGCTGCATGAATTACAGGATCCCTTTTAACCATGAGTTAGCAGGAGCTCACTGCAGGAAATTAAAAGCTAGAGCAACTTCCTTTTAACTTCCCGCATAGCCTCTCATCTCGTGCCAGTGCCTTAATGAAAAGTAAATTATTAGTCTCTGGCTTCCTTTTTTGCCACAGACAGTTTACAGTGGAGATTCACCTTGATTCTTTATTGAAAACAACATTTTATGCTATTGTACGCTCTAAATAAACATAAGGGTAGTCTGTATACACAGTCGTTTCATATTGTTCAAATGCAAAACAAAGACTGACATTACAGATGTAAGAATGTAAGACAGCAACTAACTAGTCAAAATTACCACAATAAAGCCATAATAGCTGTAGCTTTCTGACACCTTCAGACTAGGTGTCACATAGTACGTCAAAGCTAATTCTCCTTTGCAATCATTTACTAATGAATCATTCATTATATTATGTTTATATGTTTTCATATATTTTTTGACATTCAAGACATTTATAATGTAACAAAATATTTTTAGTTCAAATAAATGCTGTGTTTGAACTTTCTATTCATCAGAGAATCCTAAAAAACTAAGTTTTCAACATCAATAATAACAAGAAGTGTTTCTTAAGCATCAAATCATACTGCGTATTAGAATGGTTTCTAAAGGATCATGTGACTGAGATTGGAGAAATGTCTGCTAAAAATTCAGCTTTGCCATTAGCGGAATAAAATAAATTTTAAAATATAATCTGGGAATATATATGGCATGGCAACACATAAAACAAAATTTATAATTTTGGTGTCAAACTGTTCTATTCGCACAGCTAAATTACTCCCCAAGTCACAATTGTTTTATAAAAAATAACAGCACACTCGCTAAATTTAAAAACGATTCAAAAGAAGGAACTAAAACCTCAGCCTGTTGAAACAGAGCAGTATTACTGTTTTTACTGCTTCGAAAAACAACCTCAAGATTTATATATAACCAGAGAGTACCTCAGATATTTTGAATTTACAGCTTCTATTCATATAGCAACAATGTCACTTTTATTGCGCGTATATATTTAAGCCGTAAATATGAATGGGAGGCCTGACCACCATGAACACCATGAAAGTTATGGAACACAACCAAAAAGACTTAAGCAAGTAGACCTTCAGTAAGCAGGTCAGCTCCATGACATACATCATGTTGAGGTACTTCTTACAGTTTTTGTCTGTTGGAATTTTAGACAACTAATACAAAGGCCAACTTTGCAGTCTTGTGCCCAGATTGTCTCTGGATCTCCACAGTAACCCTGATGTCTTCTCTGATCCCTGGCCAACATGATATGAATGTGTTTACAGACCCACACCTGTCAGACCGAGCACTAAATCACCCAGATCTGGGTTGAGTAAACCCAGAATGCCACACTGTGGGTCAGGGAGGTTCACGCTTTCCCCGAAGGCGAGTGAGGAATTAGATTAACCCTGAGGAGAGGCGCTGCTGCAACATTCCACACTTCTACTGAAGACGTGCATGCCTGTCTTTAGAAGAAGAAGGTGGACTTGTCTCAGCCTTTAACTTGGAACTGACATTGACCTTGGTCTAGAATATCATGATTGTCATTTTAAGGCATTTACACTATGTAGCAGTTTGCTTTGAAGCACATGTTTGGGCCCAAGATGCCCTTTATGAACTTTAGTTTTATAATTACTTTGACCTTTCGTGCCATGCACAGAATTTTTTAGACTCGCTGTTGCACAACAAAAAAATCTCACGAGACACAAACATGCAGTAATAAAAAGCAGCCAAAGGCAATAAACATGTTTTACATCTATCATCTGTTTATTATTCTGAAGTATGTACCAAAATAATCGCTATACGTAAAAATAGCATTCTGCATTGTTTAACTAAGTACAAATGTTTACAGTCAAGCATCACTAATTGTACAAAAATAACAACACAATAAAGATACAAACAATGAAGAACAGAACATCCTCACGTCAGTGTGCAAACAGTTTATACAGACGGAATGCCTCTTTCTCAGGTGGCACTTCATGATAAATTATTTAAATAGCATTTATCTACACACACATATGAAACAGTCTTACAAACAGAGACAACAAATAAAGCAATAATTTATCAACTTAAAAAAAAAAGTACTGGACATTTGAAGCACTGGCAAATGTATTTCTTAAACAAATGTGTTCCTCTATTTTCCATTGGGATGTGGGGCTTGCTATTTGTTCTATATACTATTTACAACTTGTGCTACAGTAGCAATAAGGCAACCAACTGTTTTCTTGAAGCAAAGGAAAAAGTACTTTTAAGCTTTTGCTTGATCAAATTACAAAACGGCAATGAGGTAATATTTGTACATTAAAGTTTTCCTTTATCTCTCTCTCTACAGAAAAGGCAAACAGTAGTTTTAGACAGAACCTTGGTTATGAGAGTGTATTTTTCTTTTAAATGTTGAAATAGTTGTTTTTAGTGAGGGCAATCTTTAGAAATACCCTCACTTGTGCTTCTTGAAGCAAAATCACAGCACTTAAAGTGTTTTATAAGTGCTACATAAATATATATAGAAAAAGTCTAAAAGACTTAAACTCAACTTAGAAATTAGCATCTCAAATAAAACCTCACACTAGAGTACTTGGTAATCTAGTATCCATATGTGGTGAGTCTTTAAACCTTGGTCTGTCCAATTCCTCTTCGTACAACCTTTCATTATGCCATTTCTAATGAATATGTTAAAATGGTTTAACCATCTAGCCCTGAGAAAACTATGCCCACTAAACCATAAGTTTATCTCCCGCCAGACCTTAATGGATGTTCATGATACTTAAGATGTGACTGCTAAGCGAAACTTTAGATAGATAAACAGAAATTTAGATAAAAATCAATAAATGACAGATTTGTCCTTGTAAAATCACCTGCTTAGACTGTCAGCAAAAACAAAAACAGTATTCTTTTACTTATACAATGTTTTTAAACCATTTGTTGGTGCTTCAATACATTAAACATTCACAACTCTTTTTTTTTAGTTGTCAAGAAAATGGTTTAAAGTTTTGATAAAATACTGAATATTATAATAGTAATCTTTTTTTAAAGGGTTGTGCTCTCTCTAAGGTAGCCCTAGTTTGGACACCTGTTCAGGAAGAGAGCATGAAAACACATGAGAGAGAGAGAGAGTACAGATTTTGAAGTGCATAACTGTCTGTTGGGAGCTCTTCCCACACAGAGCCGAATGAGGTTTTTCAGAGAGAGATCTCAGTCTTCCCAATTAAGCAAAGCGAGGGAGACTTTCTTCTGCTCTGCCTGCTAATGGTGGAGGAGTCCAGATTCTGCATCGGAAGCCACTTGGTTTCTATCCCATCCAGTGACAGTTACATTGAAATTGACTACCTGCTTTCTCACTCCACCAGTGTGTGAGCGGCAGCAGAAAAAGTAGCGTCAAATCGGTCCCTGGACTTTGCCTGGAATACATATTTATACGGAAAGGTGCATTCTTTGATCAACTTCCTGCCTGTGCAATTACACATCTGAAAAGGAACAGAAAGACAGGAAGTGTTAATGATGAATGTGAATAAAAGCAAGCAAACTTTTATTTGGATCTCTATGGGATGTGTTGACGCTCACCTCTGCATTCATATTTGAGGTCTGAGAAGTACACCATCTCTTGTGAGAAGACAAAGAGACCCAGTCTTCCGCCTGCGTATGTTTTGTCATAAATTCTTCCAGAATCTGCCATGATCTTTTTGCCTTCATACATGACCACTCTGAAATACATATATATAAATAATTATTAAAATACATATAAATAACTGTTTTTTTTCTCCAGAATTAGCTTCCATTATCTTTTTAGTAATACCTTATGTGCCCAGTTCTTGGTCTATGAGTCAAGTGCCATCTGTAAGCAGTGAAGTCCTTCCATCCCACATTCTTTGGGTCGTGCCACAGTGTGCGCACCTAAAATAGATCACGTAAATAATTGTTGGCCTTCATATGAAGGGTTTTTCAAACCTGATTTCATCACAGTGATCTTGTTGAAACGTACCTGTCCTGGAGTGTCTCCGGTGTGCCAGAGGGCGTTCCTCAGATGCTCGCCTGGCCCTGTGGTGGAGTTAACCACTTTGATTGACAGCCCTGAGTAACCCTGTGCCTTGGTAGGTGTGCTGGACCAGTAGGTTTGTGTGATCTGCTTCCACATGACCACGTAGAAGCGAGAGCTGGACTGGTATCCGAAAACGAAGCCAGCGTAGTCATCATCCCTATCCGTGTTGATGAAGAATGTTCCACTGAAGTCGACTGAATTAAACTCATCAAAACCTTTAAAGAAATTTGGAAAAAAAGTCAGAATTTATACATATTTTAAATTTACTGGCTATACATGTTTTGTTTTTGATTTGTGGCCATTTGCATTTTAATTTGATTTTAATTAGAAAATGTCAAATGTCAATGATAATGTTTCAGTTTTTCCTAGTTATATTAATTTGTATTTTTGTTTTATTTTTTGTCCATGAATAATGAACAAAAAGTTGTATTAAATATTGTCTGTTTCTGCAAGCTAAGGTACTGTGCAGGATTTTCTACTTAATTTATGATATTAATTGATATTTTAAACACCGCCTATTATTTTTACATGTGCAAGGTATTATATTTATTCTTGCTTAGGTGAAATTTAATTCTGTTTTTTTTTTAAAGACTGAACTTACCAACAGCAATGCCGGGGTCGCAGTTGACTGTCTGAACCAGTTCTTTTCCTTGGTGACGAACCACCCAGTTGGGGTCGATCTGAGAAGTGCCCTTGGGATCAAGAGGAACCATCTGGAATTTGCGGAAGTCGGTTTCACTGATGTCAAAGTTCTCTGGACAGACATCATAGATATCTAGGACATTGTCGTGGTCAAAGTCATCTTTGCAGGCATCACCACGTCCATCGCCTACAAACGGAGAAGTTAAACCAGTAAGTATAAATCTTAGCATTAATGAGTGCAATAGTTATGAATATTCAGTTGTAAAACTGACCATCAGAATCCAGTTGATCTGGATTGGGAACCAATCTGCAGTTGTCTTTGTCATCAGGGATGCCATCATTATCATCATCATAGTCGCAGGCATCTCCTTTACCATCCTTGTCGTGATCAGCCTGGTTAGCATTAGGAATGTATGGGCAGTTGTCCAGGTTGTTTTGGTGACCGTCCTCATCGATATCCTGGTTGCTGTCACATTTGTCTCCGACACGGTCAGAATCGGAGTCGAGCTGTTGGAGTGAAAGTGTAGATTCAGTAAATGCAGATGTCTCAGATTCTCTTTAAAGTAAAGTTCTATGGCTTTCTTAATTAAATTATTCCCACCAGAATGGGTCTTTTTCTTAAAGGCAAACTTCTGTCCTAGTTGGCCCATCTGTGTAGGCTTTTTCAGAAAGCAATCTCATGTTGCCGAAGCCTGGCACTACCATAGTCACATTTCAGCATCTAATAAGGAGGGGTGCATTCCTTCTCTTCAGTTAACCATGGCACAGGTGTGATCCGCAGGGATTGAGTGCCGACAGGGCATGCATAAACCCACCGGCAAATCTCTCGCTCCTTACTAATAACCATTCTTTACCTCTGCATATCCTTTGGGTTAATTGAACACTAGTGAGTGTCCCTGAAAAGCCTCCTAGTGCTTTATTGTGTGGCTTTGGATTCAAGGAGAAGAGGATTTTCTCCTCCCATACATAGCTTAGTAAAGACTGCGACTACCCTCTGGGTATTTTTTTAGCAATGGCTCTGAAGCTGAACTGAACAGCTCATAGATCTCTGTGGATTATATAATGGTTTGAAAGCACCTGCGGTATTCACTCACTCGTTTAGGTCTTACATATACATACCTGGTCTGGATTGTGTTCCAGAGGGCAGTTGTCACACTGGTCACCAACTCCATCGAGATCGGTGTCTTTCTGGTCGACGTTGTACAGATATGGGCAGTTGTCGTTCTCATTCAAAATACCTGTCAAAAAGAATGACATAATGGTGAAGATTGATTGAAAACACACTGGAAAGTGTCAGGGTGATTCTCACGAAACCCGTCAAGAAAATATCCAGGTCATAACTTACTTCACAATCGAAAGAGAGAACGAACAAAAGAATGAAAAAGAAAAAGAGAAAGAAATTATTATTTATTAGTTTGTTTAATATTAATATTTGTATTTAATATTTTTATACAAAAAGATTTTTGTTCTCATATTCTCATTACCATAATACCAAAGAAGACATGTATCATTTTCTCATTACTGTTATGTGAAGAAAATTGTATATTATTTGAATGCTAGGATTTTTGTTGTACTTTTTACCGCCTTCAATTTATGCATTAATAGTTTTAAATAAATAAAAAAAGCTATTTAAAATATTGAGAGTATTAATAGTATTACAGTACTGAGAATTGGTCGTGTAAAATATGCTAAAGTCCTAAAAATGTGACAATGCCAAAAAAAGGCTTTGTTTTCTTTAATCAAAATAAAATGTATCTTATTTCTTTTGATTATGGAGTGAAATATGGATGTATTCTTGGCAGGTTTATCAAGGAATGTCTATGTATGGATAAACAAATAGAACACAGTTTCGTACCATCTCCATCAATGTCCACAGCACAGGCGTCACCTTCACCATTGTTGTCAGTGTCAGTCTGGTCTGGGTTGCTGTTGTATGGACAGTTATCGCAGCGGTCTCCCACGTCATCGCGATCATAGTCATACTGTCTTGGGTTGAAGATGAGTGGGCAGTTGTCCTATTTTAAAAGACACCGCAGTTCAGATATAGAAACATATGGCAAATAACAGTCGTGCAATTCCCCATAGGGCCTGCTCACACAAAGGTTATTACTAGATGTTAGGCTTGTAATTTGGCTGCGTAGGTCTATTTCGAGGAGTGCAATGATAAAAGCTAGCCTTATTTTAGGAATTGGACCAAGGATAATATTGGATTAGCAAGATACACTGCAGGTCTTTCAGAAAGGTACTTCTTTGGTGGAATTTGAGGTTTGTTTCCAAGAGAAACTGAGTTTACTTTACACAGCACTTTTTTTCCACACCTCAGACTGTAAGCTATGTAAAATCTGGGTGGATTTACTTTCTTCATTCACGCACGGTGCAAAATGTACAAAAAGGCACTTGACTGGAATGAGCGCCTATGGAATATACTGTATAGACATTAGATATTGATATTTTACCCTGTCATCAGGAATGCCATCGTCGTCATCATCATTATCACAAGCATCACCAATTCCATCCTTGTCATAGTCCTCTTGCCCAGAATTGGGAAGATTGGGGCAGTTGTCCTTAAAAAAAGAGTAGTAGTATATGAATATAAACACTAGCCACAATGATGTTATTTGTATAACAAATATATAACAAATAACAAATAAAGCCAATATATGCCAACCTTCTTGCAGTGATAGGTTGCATTCTCGACACACACAAGATCAGCATTTGGCCAGCCATCAAGATCAGTGTCCTCTCCACAGATGAGTCCATTTCCAGCAAAGCCAGGTTTGCACTCACAGCGGTACATGGGGTCTGAGAAATGGCCCAGGTAGTTGCAGCGAGCGTTCTTATTGCAGTCGTGGCTTCCATCGAGGCAGGGATTACGAGGCGTGCAGACCTGCAGGAAAAGATGAATCAGTCGGCGCACATTAGTTCATGAGCAGGTGCAGTGTAGGTAATCCGTAATCTTTCGGTGTTTTCTCATTTACCTGTTTCTTGGAAGCAGCGTCCTCCACTCCTCGACCAAACGGCTGTGGGCCTGTGTAGCGAGTGGGGCACGGCAGGCAGTTGTAGCCTGGCACTGTGTTCTCACACCTATGGACTCCATTAAATTCAAAGCAGGCATCAGGGACCTCCTTACACTGTAACAGAGAGAAAAGGGCAATCTGAATGAGATTTTTGCTGCCCACTGCATTTCATTACTAAAATAATAATTCAGTATCAGCCAGGATTTTAATATTTGTCCATCCCTAAAAAGCAGGGTACTGCACCTCATTGATATCCTTGCAGTTGATTCCATTGCCAGTGTATCCTGTCGGGCATTTTCCACATTTCCAAGAGCCATCTGGGAAGCTTGTACACTGGGCTCCTCCAAAGCATGGATTTGAAAGGCATCCATCTGTAAAAAAATGAAAATAAGTGAATGATTTCCCTCTGAAACACAGACTAGTGTCATCTAAAGGGTTGAGTGACACTGTAACTCACCAATTGGACAGGCTTGCTTGTTGCAAAGCTGGTTGGCCTTTGCATCTCCCACACAGTCTTTGCCGCCATACACAGGTACTGGATTATTGCAAAGACGTTTACGGTTTTGGACGCCACCGCCACAGGTGGCAGAGCAAGTATCCCAGGGTGACCATGGTCCCCAGCCACCATTGACTATGAAAAAATACACAACAAAAAATTGGACAACTGCACTTTTTAAGAAACAAACAAACAAAAAAATGGACACACTGTATAGGGTGTTCACTTACTCGGACATGGTGATTTCTCACACCTCTCAGTTTGCCGACCTTCACCCTGGCAATCTTTGCCTTCCATCTGAGGTGTTGGGGAGTTGCAGAGACGGATGCGTGTGATAACGCCAGCACCACAGGTCACTGAGCAGGAAGACCAGGGTGACCAGTGACTCCAGCTGCCATCTTGTTTAACTGAAAATGATAGACGCGGGTTACTTTTCTCCTCTACTGTGAGGAAAAACCATAGACACTTTTGGCCATTGGGCACCACTCACAGCGCTTGTCACACTCCTGAAGGTAGCAGTCTCTCGTCTGCACTGACGTGCCTTCACAGTTGTTATTGATGCGGTCGCAGGAGCGGCCACGCTGCTGAATGCCCCTTCCACAGGACACAGAACAATGGGTCCATTCAGACCAGGGGGACCAGCCATCCTCAGCGGAGTCGCTCGCTGTCGAGAGAGCAAAATGAGACAATAGCAGAGCTATTCCTTCTTTCTAAAGCAGCAAAATAGAGAAAGGCTTTTAATACTGGGCCTTAATGGACTCAATTTAGCCTGGGCAGCTTGAGACAGAACACTCCAGGGAACCCTGGCATGAACCAAGCAGCTGGAATGCTGGGGAAATGTCAGTGTATTTAATGCACAGGGATACCTTTCTCCAAATGTGGAAATGGTATTTGAAAACACCCTTGATTATGCCATAAGTTCAAACACATGAGGCTGATATTAATTGAAATCCTTGCTATGCATGACGAGCCCTCAAGACGTGAGGAGCCTGCTGTTTCTTTTTTGAGACTCTGCCAAACAGCACCAATTTTCCACCTCTCTTTAACTAATTTAGACAATTATGGCCATTTAGTGAGTCAGTGATGCACAAAGCTCTAGTGTTCCTTTCATTAGTTAAACTTCAGTTGAAGTCTATTGTATGATGCAGGAATGACTGTGGATGTTTGGGTAGTAACAGCGCTTTCAATTTAAAAGCTTTTAAAAGTCAAAATGTTGCCTGGTTAACAATATAGCACATTCAAGTTGACACAAAAGTGTTTTGTTTTTTTTGTTCGCTTGTACATTTACTTTTAATCTGTGGGTGAGTCTCTTAAGCTTACCAAGGCTGCATTTTTTATTTATTTATTTTTTACCAAAAATACAGTAAAAAGAGTAATATTGTAAAATATTGTTACAGTTAAAAAAAGTGTTTTCTATTTTATTTGTATTTTTTTATGTAATTCATTTCTGTGATGGCAAAGCTGAATTTTCAGCATCCATTTCTCCAGTCTTAAGAGTCACATGATCTTTCAGAAATCATTCTAATATGCTGATTTGGTGCTATCAATGTTGATAAAATGTTGATGATTTTCAAAATTCTTTGATAAATACAAAGCACCGTAGCACTCCCCATCAGGCACTGTGGCATTTGCGCATGGGATTAGGGGACATGAAATCTTGCGGCACACTGTTGCAGAGTTCTGCGGTTAACACAATGACTCTCATTAATCATTTGTTAAAGGATATGTCACGACTGGTGCATTTGAATGAAAAAGCATAGCCTCTTGCTGTAGTGCAACACCACATTCAACGTTACAATTTTCATTCAAGTCATCTTAAACTTAAGCTTGAGAGTGGATAACCTGGTCGTATTTAAGTCTGTGTAATTAGGCATGTAAGTATTCCTCAGTATTAATATAATGTGGCACTTCATAGAGAATAGGCTGACGGCATGTATATACCATAAATATCATAGTTTATAAGGTTTAGTTATTTGACTGTATTCTCTTTAGCTACCTCAATTTCACACTTTTAATTAGAGGCTAGGTAGTTCAGGGAAATGGATACACCCAGCTTAAGTCTGCCACAATGGACAAGACTAAGACCAGTACTGTGTATCACAGCGCCTACATAACATGGCTCTCGTCTCGCTAACACACAAATTAGTGCCTTAATGACAGAGCAAGCAGCCCTCAGAGTATAACAAGTACATGTCTGCAGGTTATTGGGTTCTCACCTGGCAAGTGCACTCTGTGCAATCATCCACTGTCCATTCTTCCTTGTTTTTGTGCACAATTCCATTGTGAAGACAGACACCATGATGAATGCCCATGCGACTCATGAGCATGTTTTTCTCATCCGTCTAGAAAACAGAACAAAAATTGAGGTTTGATTATGTGGATGGAGTGTATTAATCTACAGCATGTGTCCACTACACAAGTTCAGTATATTTATGTACAACAACCTTTTGCTCACCACTTTGCGGAGTTCATTGGACAGCTCTTGCACCACCACACCAAGACCTTTCAGTTCCTTGAACATGGCAGCCAGGTCCTCGCATGAAAAGCCACAAATCATCTGCAGATCTTCATAGGAGAAATATACAGTTTGCAATGGTTAAAATTGCATTTGGATTCTCAACTTGCGTATATTTTATTTGTATGGATTACTTAAAAGGAAGGATTACCTTTTGTTTTGTGGCCAGTGTAATCAGTCCTGATTGCAGGTCTGGATCCATTTATGGGATTGTCAAGGGTGATGATATCAGTCATAATTGCTGCAAGAGGAAAGGGCATTCAGATGGCTTAAAGCTCATTATAAAAAATTATTAAGCTGATGGAAATGTTGAGTGAAAAAATTATGAAAAAAGGCTGATGACAGTGAATGCAGCTTCAAGTCTTTATCTTATATTGCTATTGTTCATTCACTGGCACAGTGGTGCTCTCATGTTATTTAAAATACAATACAAAATGAAATACAGTTTAAAAAATATGTATATTATTAAATTAGTTATTAATATTTAACCACCAAATTAAAGTAAGTGTGGCATAATCAAGATGCAAGAAGCATTACACTCACAGTTTTGGCATCCTTTATTCCTCAGAATTGCTTCCAGTGTGGTTCCGAACACAAAGCGCACGTTTTGCAGCACCCCCTAAAAAAATCCACAAGTGATTAATGCTTCTTACTGTATTTGGCATGCAACAGGATTCATAGACATCGAAACGTTCACTCACCATGAACCTGTCCTTCACTGCGCTCTTGCCGATCCTCAGGCTCGCCACACCTGGGGTCTCCTGAGTGAGGATAGTCTGGATAGAAGCATCGAGCTCCGCTGTATTCACCTCCTCACATCCCACATAGAACTGAACCCTGTCCTCCTGCACGAAAAGAGTGATGTTTTTCCAATGTCCCACCGCCAAATCCGCTTCCTCGATGGACACGACCTGTTGCTTGTTTTCAGTGGAAAAAACAATGTCCAGAGTGTTAGCTTTCCCGTTGGAAACGATTTCGAATACGGGTCCGGAGCCATCTTTCTTCTCCACGGTCAAAAGGCTTCCCCTCGTGTGTTTGAACTGCTTGAAATTGACCAGGAGCAGAAATCCTCTCTCCGCGTGAATGGAATCGATTAGGTCCCTGAAGGCGCTCTCGGGAACCGCGGGAATCAGGTCGGGGTTCAGGATCTTGTAGGCGGGGCTGTATGGGTCGTCGCCTTTCACCAGAGTCACCCCGTGGTTCTTCCTCGGCACTTGGACGAGCTCAAACAGATCGAAAACACTGTTGTCGTCTCGACTTTCTACCAGGAGTCAAGAAGTTAACGAAATCTCATTATAATGTACTTAATATTAACGAATATTTATTTATTTATTATACAGCTCTCTTTGTACTTGATTCTGTTTGGTCAATTCAGCGGTCAATTTTTTGCTCATACACTGTTTTCTTCATAGGTGCTCTTGTCTTAATAATAAAATGAACGAAACTTAAATTATTATTTTATTTTAATACATGTATTTAGGTAGCCGTGTAATAAGTAGGATAATGCATAGAAAGCCGGTCATTATTGCAAAATAAACCCATTCATAAACCCCTTCACCCTTGTTGGAGTTTATTTTGCGATAATTACCAACTGGCTGTCAATTATTACTACAATATTTAACAGCTAGTTATACTTTAAACCACGCCAGCATTCACTCACAAACGCTAAACGCCATCAGTTACAGATGTATCATCACTCACCTGCGACTCGCGCGCTCTCGCAGTTCCATAGCATCAGTAGCAAAAAGATTGCAGATGACTTCATTTTTTTACTTGTTCTTTTACCTATCAGAAGTCATAAATAAATGTGTAAGTTATTGAAAATTCAGCAAAGCTTAACCTTAACAGGTCAATCAATTATTAAAAAAATAAATAAAAATAAAAAACGCACCTTCCACGCGTTTAAAACAGCAGCAAATCCAGGGAAACTTGATATAATTCCTAAAATGCGTTAATCAAAGGTCGTTTCAAAATAAATAAATTATTTTCCTCTTTAACTGCGGTCTACAGCATTCGGTGTTTCTTTGCTGTAGTTCCAGTGGCCAATCTAACTTTTACCAAAGAGAACAAAGTGCTATTTAAATAGTTTCATGACATTCCTGAGCGCCCGTCTCCTCCAATCAGATGCTGGAAGGGAAAAGGGACGAGCGTGCGTTACCTCACAGAGCGTTTGCATAAGTTACACACGAGGGGGAAAACGCACCACATTCCAACGAACACATTCCATAAACATACTTTTGATTTTCGTGACCGCTGCTTCCGTTTAGTACCTATTTATTTGCCGCGGTCCTGATTATTTTTGTATCCACGTACTGCTTCTTGTTTTGTCATTCAATAATCCCAGTTATTTCTTGTCACCGAAGTCCTCTACCCTACTGTTCGTTGTGTACATATTTTATTTCAGTCCATCCATAATGAACGACTAAAACGTTTTCACGTTCAAGGTGCTACTTTATTTTAGAACAAGTGTTTTCTATAACGAGTAAGTAAGTTTAAAATGAGTGTTCTGTGCCATGCACAGCATCTTATAGGATGCTCATGAAGAAAGTGCAGCAGTAACATGTCTCTCCTCTAGAGGCCGTTCTGTGGTTATTTGAGCACCTGGGTCTCCAAAATGATTTCAAATGTTGATTTCTGTAAAAGTTGCTTATACGTTAAAGCAGCTTAAATTTATAAAAATGTGTTATTAGCGGGAAATTTTATCTTATTATATGTGGTAGGTTGCCATTAACCATTTGAGACTTTTTTTTTTAAAAAGCTAAAACACTGAAACAATTCACAAAATAAAATAAAAAAAACATTAAAAATATGAAACTACTGGTTTGGCAAACTATTATTGTAAATAATAAATGTTATAAAAATTTATAAAATTTAAAACACATCTGACAACTTGCCACATTTATGAAAAATAAGGTAATCATTTCACTTCAAATCCACATCTGTAGTTGACTTGTCTGAATGAAAAGTTTTATCATGTTCACTTATTTACCCTAAAATATTTCAATAATATGAAGGTTTGGTGGATATAAGTCATACAAATTATTTTTTAATTAATAAATTTTAATTTAAAACATTTAAAATGTTTGAAACCAGCATAAAAATCTGTTTATATCAGTATAAAAACCTGTATGTAAAAAGTGTATGTTTGAAAATATTTCCATACTGAAGGTAAAAAAAATAGAATTTTTAAGGTGAGCCATATGGAGGTTTTTTTCTTTTTTCTTTTCTTTTTTTTTTTTTGCTTAAAGGGATAGTTCATCCAAAAATGCAAATTCCAGTTGTTCCAAACCTGTATGAGTTTCTATCTTCTATTGAGCACAAAAGAAGATATTCTGAAGAATGTTGGTAACTAAACAGTTGACGGTAGCCATTGACGTCCATAGTATATTTTTCCTTACTGTGTAAGTCAATGGCTACCGTCAACTGTTTGGTTACCAACATTCTTTAAAATATCTTCTTTTGTGTTCAACAGAAGAACAGAACTCACAGGTTTTGAACAAGTGGCGGGTGAGTAAATGATGACAGTATTTTCATTTTTGGGTGAACTATCCCTTTAAGGTTTGCATCTTTGACCGGCCAAGTTAGGATGATTAAAAGAGGATCAGCCAACCAAAACAGTCTATTTGCACTATCCAAAGATTTACGAGAGGACGTATGCAGACTTTTATTGCTTAAACCTGACGCCCACCTTGGTGGTTGTTGATTTCTCAGTGAAACATCATGGGAATGAAGACACTACTTCAAGTGAATGTGCATTTTTCTTTTCACAGTGATGAATGTCTCATTTGTAAGCAGAGAGGGAGTCAGCTGAAGTTTAATCTGACTGATCCTGGGAGACGTCAGATAGGGGTGGTAGCTGTATCGTTTGGAGGGTCAGAGTGTTAAAGCTCACCTCAGAGACCTCTGTGGACAGATGTACTGATGATACAAGAGGTTATACGTCAGACATCATTGCTTTGTGTTTATTCTCTCTGCCCCGTGGCCATGCAGGCCTATTGTGCTCACAAATATGGCACCCGGTCTCAAGAGATACTGTCAGTCTGAACGTCTGCGACATCACTCGGCTAAATAGCTTCCAAAGCTCTGTCATGGAAACCATGCTTTCGCTCAATGACACACACAAACTTCTTGAAGTTAAGAGCTTCTGTGGAACTCGTGTTGACCGGTTGCAATGGTGAAGGAGAAAATATTCCAGTTATGGGACAGCTGCTTACATTTGGTGTAAAACATCATAAATAAAGAGATGACTTGAAAAATCTTTCACATTTTCAAAGTTTATGCATAGTTTCTGGATTCTTTTTAAGCTTTCTTGTAAGCAATAACCATCAGATGTCTATAGCTGATGTCTGAGCTGTCATGGCATGCACAAGTCTAGGAGATAAGTGAGTAAGATATGATCCATCTGACTGAGCAAATATCTACTCACTGCCCTATAAATGTAGGAGGGGCAGGCCATTTCATTCTTATTATTACTCATCAGGTTCTCCAGATTTAAAAACAACCTTGCACAACCCACCATTTTACTAAACTTTTTTTTGCCTCTTTGCAAAATGGGGGTTATTTGTAAGATTGTTTGGACTCTAACTTGTACAAAAACTGAGTTTCTGTGAAGTGGGCGGTAGAAGTGCTACAGAAGGTTTTAAGAGGTTTATTTCAGACAGAATAAACTGAATTTTATGTGTAAAAATAAAGCTTTTTTTCTCTAAAAACAACCTGAGAATTCAGAAGTAGATAAACCAACTATGGAGAGAGGGAGAGGCATAATTAAAACAATCCATCCAGTGCATCCAGTAAATATTTATAATACTTTCATTTTCAATAAAATATATTAATATATTAATGGTATCATTTTATAAAATTTTTGTGAAAAAAAAATATTATGAGAATTAAAGTATATGTACAAATGTGAAGTGTTTAATCTTTTTTTAAATGCTGGCAAAAAAGATTGGAAAAAAAATACATAGAGATATTCCTGACTGGATGATTTTCTCTCTCTCTCTCTATATATATATACATTCTTAAATATTCAGAAAAGATGTGCCATTAAATAATAAAAAAAAAAATCTTAATGTAACCAAAGAGTGTATCTCATAATTTTAGTGTATATAAGGCTTCTCGAAATCTCAGATATCTGAAGTCTGTGGCAAATCATTCAGAGTACCAGCAGAATGGCATGTTCATCTGAATTCATCTCTAACCAGAGGTCACAGGCCACACAGGATCATTAAGTAACCAAAGAGGCAGATTTGGTCTGCATATTTTGTCATGGACTTATTGTATGACTATTTTGAACCTGAATGTAGCAATTCATCCTTAAACTGGCCTTGAATTAGAACAAAACAGCTGGACCATTTCAGATGTAGGATTACAACGGACTGTGACCACCTGTGCAGCTGTTTCAGTAATCCACTCTTTACCTGTAATATCAGAGTAGAGCCATTAGACCTGAGACACTGAGTCAGCATGCCAGGATCATGGCCAGCAGATCTCACAGATGAAAGGAGATCTGTTTCCACAGGTTCCCGTATTGTGCAAGTTGATAAATATCTTTCAATGTCAGAGAACGTTTTCTGAGTCCGTTCTGTCATCTTTCTAGCAGAAGGTCATGGTGTGCAAGCTTCCTTTTAATGTGTTTCCATGCACAATGTAATTTGCATTCCTGAGTTTAGTTAGTGGTAAAAAAGAAACAGTGTTCTGAATTATTTTGCTACTTCATTCCACTCCTGAAGATTCACACCATATTTGGCCAGTCTGAACATCAGGTTCTTCGATGTAGGGAACATTGTGTGACATAACTGTCTTCATTGTTAATTGCACAGTAGCTTAACTGGCACCTCTGATTTGCATATGCTCAAACAGAATAGCATGAAGGTATATTGTAAAAAAAAAAAACTTGCTTTAAAAATATAAAATATAAAAACTCTTTATATATAAAAAACGTACTTACAGTCCGTGAGTCAGAACAGCCGGCATTGTAGTCTACTCTA